GGGATGGGCTCCAAAGGCACAGCAGAGGATGGGCTCCAAAGGCACAGCAGAGGATGGGCTCCAAAGGCACAGCAGATGTGCAGGGGATGGGCTCCCAAAGGCACAGCAGATGTGCAGGGGATGGGCTCCCAAAGGCATAGCAGATGTGCAAAGGATGGGCTCCCAAAGGCACAGCAGAGGATGGGCTCCCAAAGGCACAGCAGATGTGCAGAGGATGGGCTCCCAAAGGCACAGCCCGACTGAACACACACCCCTCACCCTTCCAAGTGCATGAGGACAGACATCCCTTCACAGGACTCAGGCAAGCTTAATTATGAGAGTAAATCAACATCTGGCTGAACGAGCTCGACTCCTCCCTGTGCAGAGCTACCAGCACACACAGCTTGATTTTTAAGTGTAATTATGAATGGAAAAACCTGCATGCAAGTCTAGCAGTCTCCCAGGGCTACAGTTGTTCAGGGTGCACTCTTGCTTCTTCCCATATGTCTTGGCAAAGCTGCACAAATTTTGAAAATTGAGCCCACTGTTCTCTTTCCCACAGGCACCAAATTCCTCCTTAGGCTATACAAACTCTTTTCCCAGGAAAAATAATAAAATAAAATAACTGGCCTTCATTGTTTAACAATTTATTTTTTCAAACAAATTCACAACCATGAATGACATACAGTGCACATATTTGGCATTCCCAATTTTTATTGCTGCCTCACAGACCACTGTTTCCCATCATTTGCTCTTGTAAGCCCATAGTTTCCATTAGAAACTACACAAACACCTAAAATAAAACACTTCATTCAGCATGCAGTCAAAGCTTTATTTTTAAAGCTTTTTATGAAGTTTGGATTTTGCCTAATATCCTTTCTAGAACTTCATTTTATGCTAAATCATGGAGATTCAAATGTATATACCCTCCCCAAAAATACAACGATGAGTCTTCATTTGCCTGTGCTTTTTTAAACTCATGCTTGCCCATTCTTGGAGGTCTACTAAAAAAATGAAGGGCTACTTTAAAATTTTATTTGTAATCAAGAGCCCTTAAAAACAGTACTTTTATAACCATACTGCAGGACTATATAAAATAAGATATTACAAAATTGCACAAATGCTGACTCAGAATAGCCAACACAGTGGTACAAATGCTCAGCTAGACTCGTATTTAAGATTAAATGACAAAACTGTGCAAAGCAGGAAGTGAAGACAGACCCACTAACTCACGTACTAGTAGATAGTTTAAGATGAGCTTACCAGCATTAGAACAATTGCTAATGTTTTTACTAAGAAACCGAGGGGGAAATATTAAACATTTTAGTTGAGATTGCAACCACATTTTATAGCCTATAGTTTAATTTTCCATTATATGAATGAAATCTAATTGTCTAATCACAAGGGAATCAAACACATCATGCGCAAACCACACTTCCAAGAGGGAAGAGAGAAGGGAGGAAGGACTCATAACCCAATTCAATGAATTTTAATAATATTTAAGCAAAGTTTTAAAATCAGCATTCACATGTCACCAGTAGTCTAAATGAACTGCTTATTTTCCCCTTCTTCCACACATCTATACTCTTTCCAAGTATTTTTTCCATGAACTTCAGAACCTTATGGAGACTTGCTATTGTCAATTGCAATGTCTGGATATTGCTGAAGAACTTAGATGAATTAAAAACAATAAAAAGCAAGTAGAGATTACTTGGATAAATTCTTACACTACGTAGACACTTTGTTACATGCCAGGTCATTTTCAACAGTGCAATATTACCAGGTTCAAGCATGAAAGTAGTTTTCTGTTTTTCTGAAAAAAACACAATTAAGACTAACATTGAAAAAAGGTATCTATATTTATCTCCTTTATCCACAGAAGAGCCTTTCTCAAAACTAACCTATTAATTTTCAACTCAAAATGTGTTTAAAAAGCATTTGTCTCAATCACGTGTGAAATCTTTACATTATTGCACATACAACAAGACCACGCACAAAGGAATGTCCTTTCTATTTATGCAATTGTTAGAGAATGAGGAAAGGTATAAATAAAAATAGCAATTGCAGAATATTATTCAAGTTTTAGAACACTAGTAGCAGACATTATTTGGGGGAGGGAGAGTGGAAGGAACAGACTAATTCAGTTAGGTTTTCACAACTCACACAGCACTTTCTGATGAACAGCAGTGTAATTTGAACAAAACTCCCTCCAAAATTTTGGCAGGTGTAGAGATGTGCAATAGATCCTAAGAACTGTCTAGACTTTTCTGTCTAAAATAACCACCAAGAAAAGCACCCCTGAAGACATTCAATACCTTGCATTCATGCAAAAACATTAGGACAGAGCTTACACTTAAGGATTTGCACTGATACCAATCTCAGTCTGTTTCCACAATTAAGAAAGTTATTTTGTGTAAGAATTGAGGGGAAGAAAGAGACAACTTGGAGCGAGTTAAGGGTGAGGCTTGGGTCCCAGCCGTAACTATCTATCGGTTTCCATTCAGACAGAATTAACATTTCTATAGCTGAGAGATATCAGCCATCGAGCAGTGGCATACCTGACTCGCCAAAAACTGGAGGTGTGTTTTGTGAGCAAAGTCCTTAAAAAAGCGTGAGCTGGACACTACCAAACAATTTACTTACCATAAAGCCACAATTAGCTAATCCATCACAGGCACAGCTGACTTGCCACCTCTTTTTTCCTCCCACACTCTCTTTTCTTGTGATACTACAGTCAACAGACAGTGGTATCTGTGATCTCTTTTCTTGTGATAGCACAGCCAACTGTCCCACACAGCAGGGCAGAGGGGGCAGAGAGCAGGGAAGAGGAGATGGACAGGGCAAGGGACTGAGGAAGGCACGGGGAGGGGAAGCTGGAATGTGACAGGGATTAATTTCCTCACATTCAAGAAGAGATTCCCAGGACAGCTCATAAAATGCCAAAAGTTGACAGCAGGAAGCGGGAGGAGCTCAAGCCACTTGAACAGAGGAAGAATTCACAAGTACAAAAGCTTTTCCTTCACCAAGCAGGAATATGGGGATCATTGCTCACTGCCTCAAGGAAATAAAGCACTGTTATGATCATGTTCTCTCCTCTGTTGGGCCACTCTAACAAGCAAGCAGCACCTGGCATCTCAGCACAGAACCAAGGTTCAACTACAACCCTCATCCCATTAAGGGGCTCCCTGGGACTTTGGATGGCCTGTTAGGATAGGACTGCCAAAGTCATCTTTGCCTCTTCACCTTTAAACTGATCCTCCTACCTGAAAAAGTCACTCTTATTCTGGTCTCCTCTTCAGGGTCTATGTAGTTGACACTTTTAGTACCTAAAGATTCCCTGCACACATCAATTTCACCCCTCCCAAGCCTTGAAAGATAATCAGTTGCGTGAGAATCTTTGGCATATCCCATGGTACATGCCATTACACTGTCATTTACATTCCACATCATTTTATAACAGCTACT